CCTTGGCTCTAGAGTTATCTCATGCTCCATATGGAGTGAAGTAAAGCTGTTTCAGGAACTACTGATTCTGACCCTTGAGATAGGACCCAAGTATAGTTTTTCTGTTTGGGCAGTGCAGGGCAGAAACTCCTTTTAGAGTTTGGCATTGGTCTTCCAGGAACCTATTTTCATTGCTCTTTCAGTCTAAATAATTTCCTGAAGCCCTGGAAGATATCTAAAACTGATTGAATTTGTGTTAGAAATTAGCATGCTATTTTGGACATTCAAGGAAATAAGGGAAAATGTATATATGAATATGTTGCTTATATTTGCGGTGGTATTCCCTTACCTCAAAGTATTTTTTTTTTTTTTTAAGATTTATTTATTTATTTATACAAGCACTGGGTACAGTCAGAAGCGCGGGAGGGTGAGAGAATTCACCAGAGCCAGAGCAGAGAGCACAACAGACAGACTGATGAAGTACACTGCTGAGGGGAGCAGTGGGCGGCAGGAGAGGTCTACGCACCATGTGTGACCCTCGCCCGGCAGCCGGGATCAAACCGGTGCTCCAGAGGTTGCAGGCAGCTTCGCAACCCAGCGCTCAACCACTGTGCCACTGGGGAGGCCCCCCAAATATTTTTTTTTGGGGGAAAAAAAATTGGAGATAATTTTTGTCTAAGTCAATAGCATCTATAATTTGGTTCTTGTTTTTTAAAAATTCTGTCTTTGCTAACAGTTGAGAAAGAAAGCATACTTTGAAATTAAAGCTTTACTCCAAAGCAACACTATTGGAATGGGATACAGTAATCCTTACTATATTGCCACAATATCTGCATTAAAGTTGAAACCATGTTTGGAATTTCTTCTGTACTGGAGACGAATGGGGTACTTTTTTACTACTTTTTAGATTTGGAATTTGGAGTCTGTAATCTTCAGTTGGCTATGCATGCATGATCAGTATTCACTCCAAAAAGTATCTCTGAGAGAGCTGAAACTTTGTCAGTGTGCTCACCAACTAGCTAGAACATACTAACCACTCCCATATTGAAAGAAGAACTTGTCGGAGGGATGGGGCCTCAGCTCTTGCCAAATTCAACTGATCCTTGCTCTTTAGGTGGCATACACTTTTTAAATATTTATTTATTTATACGTAGAAGAACAGGGGTATAGGCCAGAGGTGTGGGGGTGGGGTGGGAGGGTGAGGGTATTCACCAGAGACACAGTGGGGAGCAGTGGGCCAAGTCTCCTGTGCCATATGTGGGTTAGTTCCCTGCCCAGGGATCTAACTCAGGCCATTGTGGTGATAACACTGAGACTAACCCTTATGCCACCAAGGAGGTCCCCATAGCAGGCTTTTTGTTGGAGTAATTGTGGGTTGTCCGTTGAACCATTTCAGATGAAGAAGCATATGGGCAGAATGAGAGCATATTTTAACATGAAGTTGAACTAAAATTGAGAGAAAAAGTCAATATTTAAAAAAGCTTTATTGAAATTGTTGATTTTTAATTTTACATGAACATTAATGAAACCATGAGTACACCTAGTTTATGATTGTGTATCCTGAAAAATTCAGTGGCAAATTTGGTCTTTGGAACATTTTCCATAGAACATTATTAAAGGTGATTAAGTATGGGCCATCCTCCTGTTTATTCCATAATGTTGATGTAATACTGACTTTTTGATTACAAATAGTAGGTAGTAGCGCTATAAGTTAGCTTCAGAGGAGATACACACACACATGCGCGCGCACGCACACACACACACTTTATTATATATTTGAAATTAGTTTGAATCATATTTCAAGTGGAAATGTCTGACATGGCACACTATTACATATACACACACACACACACACACACACACACACACGTGGTACAGGTGGTTTGTTGGAGGGTGAAAAAATAAAGCCAAGAATTATACAATATTAAAAAAAGACTGACTTCTGTCACACATGCCTTGCTCCCCTAAATATTTACCTTTTAGCAAATAAATGCCAAATTATTTCAGTAGTAACTCTAGAATAATCTAGCAGATGTTTAACATTTGTAATTAAAGCGTATCACTGGAAACTATTGAAAGATTCATTTAAAATCGCTTTACTAAAAATATATGTGTATTTAAATTTTTACTCTATAAAAATTTACAGTATTTAGAAAAGGTAAAAAGTATTTGATCAGGTTTATTGGGGTAGATAGGTGGATGTCTGCAGGAATTTCTAAAGAAAGTCTGTCTACTTTATGGACTTCTGTAACTTAGTCTCCCTTTGTATATATAGGGATAAGAAAGTAAGTACAAGCCCAAAGAGTAACAGCCATCAGTGATCCCCTTGAGCCTGGTCTCCCCTTTAGCATCTCTCTTCCTTTTTTACTGAGATTCTTGAAAACTTAAGCTCCATCTCACATAGTCCTTGCCAGGAGTTCTCACCATCTCACATAGTCCTTGCCAGGAGTTCTCTCCCCCAATGTATAAGTGACACTACTCTTCGGACATTGCGCCTGACCTCATCTAGAAATCATATAATTTTTAAGTTGTTATCCATGCTGGGGAGCATTTGAAAAATTTGACCATCAGGTTTTGTGATGTTGGTTCTTTCTTCCAGTTCCATAACAGTTTAGCATTCTACTTCCCCTTTGTATGTTACTTACAAGTTTTTTATTTTCTGTCTTTCCTTCCATAATACAAAAGTCATGAGGTCAGATACGATTCTTGTCTTGTTCATAGCTCTCTGTATTGAGAACCTGGCCTGATACTGTATTGCTAAACAATAAATATTTTTTAAGTTTTTCCCATCACCCAGTGAGGTAGTTCTTAAAGTTCTGTTGTGACCCTATTCTATTTCTTTCTTGCTGTTTTCATTGATTACTTGCTCTTACTTTTTCACTGTTACTTTTTGTACTGGGCACCCGGTAGCCATCATTTTTATTTTGACTAGCATCACTTTAGCTCCCTTCCCCTTCTTTGTTCCATATTCATTATGAAAAAGTATTCACAATTTATTTCTAAGTGGAAAAGTCGATTACAAAATGGCCTATTTAGTAAACAGGGATAGCAGAACCATCATTGATATTTACCTATGTCCTTTTGCTTATTTTTCTGTTCCAGCTGATCTATAACTTAAGTACTTAAGTTTTTTCTTTCTTCAGCTTCTGTTCCTCTATCCTTGCTATGATCAAAGCAATCTACTCCAATCTGGTTAATCAGGCAATGGTTTTCTCTTGTCCTATACAGTAAAATTTAGGAAGTGGTCATCCTTTTTTCCTTTTCCTTTTTGTTTTTTTCCTGTGATGTCAGGAAGCTAATGTCAACTTAAAATCAAGAAAACCATTCCATGTTTAGAACTATCAAAAATGAGACTAAAGTGTTAAGTGTTGACTGCCTCTTGATTGGTAGGAGTATGGAAGGACAAAATTGTTGGTTTTTTTAAAGACTTATTTATTTATACAAGAACCAGGGTACAGGCGAGATGCACGAGAGGGTGAGAGACAGAGCGGGGAACAGACAGGCAGACATATACGGGCTGAAATACACTGCTGAGGGGAGCAGCAGGAGAGACAGGAGAGGTCTGCTTTGCCATTTGGGATTCTTGCCAGCTGGCCGGGATCGAACCCACACTGCAGAGGCTACGGACAGGTTCACAATGCGGTGCTCAACCGCATATGCCACCGGGGAGGCCCAAGGACAGAATAGGTTTTGATGCTGTTCAGCACTCCAGTCTTTGCGTATCTTTTTAACTACTTAGGTTTTTCATAATCTGGCCCAAGATCTAATTTTAATGATTAGGAGCACATCTTATTTATTCCTTCCCCTATGCACCTTGCAGGTAGTATGTGCTAAACATATGTTTATTCAGTGAATGACTTTCTTGTGAGCATATTCTTGGATAGGTGAACTGAGGTTCCTTATTTTTACTGAAAACTTGGTTTTGTGATGTGGAAATATCAGATCTGGATTCAGAGTACTCAATCAAGTCTTGGGCCTGTGCATGGGTGATCGTATACATATTGATCTCTGAACTTACTTTACATCTGTAAGATTAGAATGATAGTTATTGTAAAATAAGTTATGAGTACTAAGTGCATATGAAAAATGTGTTATAATCTAAAAGTGCTTTATAATGGTAGAATTATTCAAAGGTAAGAATTTTTTGATTATATCAATGTTATTTTTGTTATGTATTATGCATTGTTATATATTAAATGTGTCACTACTATTACTCTTTTACTTCATAGTTACTCATTTTTTCAGTCTCGTAAAGGAAGTGAATATAGTTGCTTTTTCTTATAAACACATTTTCTGTGCTCCTGAAGACAAACTTTCTCTTATATTGTTGAATTCTTGATATTTTATGCCCAACTACCAGTGTGTGTGGATTTCTCTTTAAGGTTTTTTGGTCAGCCATTGACAAAGTACCACTTGAAAATGAAATAATTTTTCTCAAAGTGACCGCATTTGGTAGAATTTACCCAACTTTATAGTCTTAAATCTTTGATGTCTGCTATGTTTTGTTTCCCCTCCTCTTAGGTGACAAAGATCAATAAACAGTTAGCAAAAAGATTTTAATGATAATCTTAAACTCTAAAAGGGTGTTAATTCTTTAGTTTTCCATACATATTTCTCTATATATGCGCATATCATCATACATATTTCGTGGTTACAATTTTATTTAACATACATTTCTACTGTTGTGAATGTTACTAATACTTTTCCTTAGATTATGTGATAGAGTTAGATACATTGTTATTCCATGGTGCTTCATAACCAGCTTTTCTTGAATTCAATATGAGTGGGCTTGTGATTCACAGCTTTGTGAAGTAGTACCTAATCAGGAGATTAGCTTTAAGAAACAACAGTTCTTGAGTATGAGAAGAAGAGCTATTTCAAGGATCAGGGTTGCTTTCACAAGTAAATGTATTAACAAATCAGCTTTCTATAAGGAGGGGACTTTTACTTAGAAAAGAAATTTATTGGCATTTGTAGTTTCCCCCTAATAAAAATTCTGTTCCTTCTTTCCCTTTAACCAGGTCAGTTTATTTATTTTATTTTTCTGCCCTATTCTTTTGTCACCAAAAAAGAGAAGAAATTCTGCAGTGAATGAAGATTCCTCTGAATTTTAGCACTGCTTTTTCTACTATAGTTGGCCTTTGAATGAGGATGACAATGGAAGAGATGAAGAATGAAGCTGAGACCACTTCCATGGTTTCTATGCCCCTCTATGCAGTCATGTATCCTGTGTTTAATGAGGTAAGTAGATAAATAAGTCCTCATATCACCTCCACACTTTTTTTTTAAAAAATATTTATTTTTATGCATATAAGAACTGGGGTACAGGCCAGAGGTACAGGAGGGTGAGAGGATTCACCAGAGACAGAGCAGGAAACAGAACAGGCAGATGGAAAACACTGCTGAGGGGAGCAGTGAGCAAGACAGTAGAGGTCTGCCGCACCATGTGGGTTGCTTCCTGGTCCACCGGGGATCAACCCACACTGCAGAAGCTGTGGACAGCTTCACAGCGCTGCTCTTAACCCCCTGAGCCACCAAGGAGGCCCCTCACCTCCACACTTCTTTAATGCCTGCTTCACCTATTCTTTGGGTTTTTGGTTCGTTCATGTAACATATACTTACATTCCACCCCAACAGTATACTGAATTGTGCCAGCACACATTGGGGGAAAAAACAGATATATTTCTCTGCCCTTTTTCTCACGCCCCTGGAGGTTTCACTCAAGTGGAAGAGATAGACATAGAATGATAGAATACAAGTAATCTTGGACTTGAAAAATTGTGATAAGTGCTATGAAGTGTTTTTTTTTTTTTTTTTTTTTAAATAGTGTGTTAAATAAAATAGAAGGTAGTTTTTATTTTAAGGGTCTGGACAGGTCTCACAAAGAAAAGATATGCTAAGCTAAGGTTCTAAAGAAGGAAATAAGGTATAGACAGTGAATGAGTTGAGGATAAGCAACATTCTAGATAATAAAAAGAACAGGCAAAAAAATAATGCGTTATGGTCAGCAGAGATAGAACATTTTAACTGATATATTGAAAGATGCCATTGCTTTGTATCTGGAAAAGATGTAGTTGCTTTTATTTCAGAAATTTTCTAGCACTTAATAACAACGCATTCTTGACTTCTTTTGAATTACAGTGCTAAGGTAAAGAATTTTAGAGTTGGATATCCCTTAGAGGTAATTTAATTAGTGCAGTCTTAATGGTGAATTTAGGTTATAAATGTGAAATTATCTACGAATAAAATCTAGATTCAATAAAATCAAAATTCAGTAGCTTCAGGTTTTTTTCCGTTTAGTTTTTTTTCCTTTTTCCCCCAATAATCTATTTATAAATGTTGTTGCCATTAACCTTGTTGCTGCTATAGATTGAAAACCATTACCATTTCCAGTATTTTTTTTAATCCCTTTATTAATATACGAAAGAAAGATTCTGGGTTTCAGAACCATTTCTTCCACCTTAATAGGTTTAATAAAAATCTATGTGATACATATTTTATGATCTTAGAAGTTTTGGGGACAGTGGAGAGTGATATGTACATTTTCTTCAACTTGAAAACCACACATTATCAGTAGTTGCCATTTCAGATACATGTTTTGGAATTTCAAATGGTGTTAGGTTCCATGACCATAAGAGAAAACTTAAAACAACAACTTGTGTGTAAGTTTATGTTTCTTACATAAAAAATTTGCAGGTACCTAGGCTGCTGTTATTATGACTCAATATTATTAGGAAATGTTTCCTTATGTTCGGTTTCATCATGTATCATTTCCATTATGAAGGTCACTTTAGTATGTAGGGTAGCTGCTGAAGCTCTATCCAGTGTGTTTTAAGTTGTTTTTTGGGGGGGATGGGGAGACAATTGGGTTTTTGGGGTGGTGTACTGTTTTAGCTGCATCAGCTTCCTTATAGGAGCCATTTTGGAACACTTCCATGTGTATCTCATTGATCTTAATCATGTGACCAAATTTAGCTGCAAATCAGGTTGAAAAGCTGAAAATTTTTTTTACTAAAGATTCAGATAGAAAACATCTTTTGAAAAAACCTGTCCCTATATACTACTACAATTAATATTTGAACTTTCTCAGGTAATTCAAGAACCATGGCACTTCCACCTAGAGATGCTCCTTCTTATGCCTATATTTATATATTTCTTTTTTTAGTATTTATATATTTATGCATACAAGAGCCAGGGTACAGGCCGGAGATGCAGGGGGTGAGAGGATTCACCAGAGACAGAGCGGGAAGCAGAACAGGCAGACTCACTGAAATACACTGCTGAGGGGAGCAACAGGTGAGACAGGAGAGGTCTGCTGTGCCATGTGGGTTGCTCTTTGGCTGGCCGGGGCTCGAACTCATGATGCAGAGGCTGCGGACTGCTTTGTAGTGTGGTGCTTAACCTCTGCGCCACCAGGGAGGCCCCTGCTTATATATATTTTAATGCAGTCTGCTGGCCCAGGTTGTTTGTGGGAAATTTCTGTGTTTTATCTGGCACACTTAGTTAGTCTTTACTTGAAGTGAGGGCAATTTACATTGCAGAGCTTCAGTTTGATCCTCTACTTAATGAGGAGGAATGAGAAAAATTTTTCTTTTAGCAATTTGAGTGCTCTTTTCCTATAGAAGGTAAATTGATTTTCTTTGAATTTTGACTTTGGAAAACATTTACAGAGGATACAAAATTCTGGTAAAATTGTACTGTTAGGAGTAATACTGGTATACTTTTTCTAATTTTTTCGTGTGTAAGAAAAATTAATGTGAAAGAAAAAGAAATGGCTGTAAATGGACTAGTAAATTTCTTTTAGAAATAAAGGCAGTGATTATCTGTTCAGATGAGAACTGAAAATATATGTGGGTTAGTGGACCCAGAGTGACAACATACTGTTAAACAATTTCATTGTTGGTTCAGTAACTTAATTGTTAGATGTGAAATTTGAAAGTGAAGCTGGAATATGGCAGACTGAGAGATACTATGTCAAATTGTCAGGCTCTAATCCTCAAATTGAATTTACTTATTATTTATTTTAAAGGTTTATTTTATTTATTTATTCATAAAAGGGCTGGAATGTAGCCCAGAGGTCCTTGGTCAGGGCGTGAGAGGATTCACCAGAGACAGAGTGGGGAGCTGAACAGGTGAATCTACTGAAATCCACCCCTGAGGGGAGCAGCAGGCGAGACAGGAAAGGTCTGCTTCCCCATGTGGGTTAGCTCCTTGGCCAGGGATCGAATTTGTGCTGCAGTGGCTGCCAATAGTTTTATAGTGCTGAGACTTAACTCCTTGCACCAACAAGAAGGCCCCAAATTGAATTCATTGGTATATATCATGGTATCAAGTTTAAGAAGTATTTCTGACATTTTAAAATGGGTATTGAGAAGTAGCAGGCTTTTACAAATGGTGATAGGGGATTTACTCTTTGATTGAGATGAAAACCAGAATGTGATTCAGGAATGAAGTAAAATAATTATTGTACCTTAAAGTGTGAAATGTTTGGTAATGAAAGAATAAAATAGTAGCATTGTTATCTGACTTCCTGGTATGTTAATGAAGCATTCTAAATAAGGTAATCAGTTAAACATTAATATTAATTATTGTTCAATCATGGATTTTCTCTTAATTCCAATGCAGAAACTAAAGTTTGATTTAGCTCAGTTTTTCTGCACTATATAGATTTAGGAAAAAAAAGGTCTAAAGAAATAGCACTAGAACAGTTATACTTCAAAGGTAAATGATTCATTAAATTTTTTTCACAATGTGTTATAAGAGGTATAAATCTTACATAGTCTGGAAGTCATCTTATTGAACAGTTTTAGGTATTAGGACATCCTTTCCTTTTACCTAGGGAAATCTAAGTACTATTATTCTAGCTCACAAGGTAGTTATTTATGGCATATTCTGGGACTTGATGCTTGCTAAACTAAATGAAGCTATGCCAAAACAGCTGAGAAGGTGTAGGCTTCTTGTTTAATCAACTGTAGAGTTCAGAGTCCAAGTATATTGCGTGTGTTAAAAATGTGCTGTAAAATAGGTCTCCTGGTTGCATTATGGAATGATGAGCTTATAGAAACATAAAGCCAACTAGTAGATCAGGTTCTCATGTACTATATTATTTCTTGCTGATTATTTATATATGGAGGAGGAGAGATAATGTGGTTTGTTTTTTCATTCCAGGAAAAGATTCTACATATTTTCATTTCCTTTGAATTTTTGGAAGAATTATTTAAAAGTGAAATAATCATATCTGAAGAAATATGCATAAGACAGAAATTAACAATTTTGCAATAAAATGGGATTTTTAGATCATCAGTGGTTAATGTGACTTTGTATTAGTAAAAGTACTTCTGAATGAGTACTTAATACTTATTAGTACTACTAAAGATTAGTACTACTAAAGATCAGTACTAACAGATTATCTTTCTGTTCAGAGGCACTATTTCTGCCAATGCATTAGATAATATATTGCAGTTCTTAGAATAGTAATAAGCGTGTAGTATTAGTTTTTATTATTAAGGAGCCTTTCATTTTTTTTCTGACAAAATTCTGATCATACCTGTGAGTGTTTCATACTGGTAGGCAATGTTTTAATGAAATATAATTCATTTCACTTTTTGCTAGATGACTGGATAATCCCAGGAACTGAATTCTTTTGGAAACACTTGTTGAAGTTAATATGTACAAAATACAGTTGATTTCATTTGCCATCTCTGTAGTAGCACAGAAATTAGTGGGTGGCCTCTTGATATGGCTACTTCTTTTGACTTTTTTTTTATATAATTTTTTTTCTTTTTATTTTTATATTCCCCAAACAATTGCGACCCCCTTATTTTGACCCCAATACCTCCCCTCCCCGCCTCCCACCCCCCATAGAGTGTCTCTGGTTCATAGTTGTTTGTTGATTTTGATTTTTACTTTCTTATAGTTGTTCTTTTTCCTGGTCCCTTATTTAAGTTTTCTAGATTCCTGCTATGAGACCATCCGGTATTTTTCTTTTTCTTACTGGCTTATTTCGCTGAGCATGATCCCTTCCAGCGCCATCCATGTTGCTGCAAGTTGCATGTGCTTGTCTTTTTTGAATGCTGAGTAATATTCCATGGTGTATATATACCACATCTTCTTGATCCAGTCATCTATTTTTGGGCATTTGGGTTGTTTCCAAAGCTTAGCTATTGTAAACAGTGCTGCTATAAACATAGGGGTGCAAGTGCTCTTTGGAATTGATGTTTCTGTGTCCTTTGGGTAAATAC